AACTGCCAGCCAAGATGGCGGTCGGCAGCCAGGCAGCTTCAAGCTAACATGGGGCTTGCTTGCTTCAGTGACAGAGGAGTCCAACGTTCCCCGCCTGCCTTGCCGGCCTCTTAGCTTGCAGTTTGAAACATTGTAACAAATACAGAAGCTAAACAAAACCCCAGAAACCTGCTTTCAGGGAGCCGGGATCTCAGAGCTGGAGTTATACATTGTTTCGATTATAGAACCCAAACAAACCAGATACCTGCTTTCAGCAGTGAGGCCTCAGAGCTGGAGCCAGAGGTAAAGCAGGCCCAGAATAAAAAAGAAAAAGAAAAAAAGGAGCAGTTGGGAGCTTCAGTCACCCGCCAGCCTGAAAACAGCCCTCAGCCCCTCACCCAGACTGGCCAAGCACCCCAGTGGGGACCCCCACCCTGAAGGGTGTGTGACCAGCTGCAAACAGCCATCATCCCCTCACCCAGGCTGGCCAGGCACCCCAGTGGGGACCCCCACCCTGACCCAGGACACCCTTCAGGGCAAACGAGCCAGCCCCACCCATGCACCAGGCCTCTATCCTATATAGTAAAAGGGTAATATGTCTCCCAGCACTGGGCTCAGCGGAGCCGCAAGGCCTCCCAGCACCGGGATCAGCTGAGCCAAAAGGCCTCCCGGCACCAGGATCAGCGTGACGGGGGCAGTGCCCAAACCCCCTGATCTCCCTGTGGCTCTGTGTGTGACAGGGGGCGGGGCCACAACCTCCCTATCCGCCCTGCTCTGTTCGTGACAGGGGAAGGCGCTCCAACCTCCTTATCAGCCCTGCTCTGTGCCTGATACGGGGAGCTCCCCAACCCCCTGATCGCCCTGCGGCTCTGTGTGTGACAGGGTGCGGCGCCCCAACCCCCACCCCCCCACAGGCCCTGCTCTGTGTGTGACAGGGTAGAGCCATAACCTCCCCATCGGCCCTGCCCTGAGTGTGAGAGTGGCGGCGCCCCAACCCCCTGATCAGCCCTACTCTGTGGGTGATAGAGGGCGGCGCTCCAACCCCCCCCCCCCCCCGCCACGGGCCCTGCTCTGTGTGTGATGGGGTAGAGCCATAACCTCCCCATTGGCCCTGCCCTGAGTGTGACAGTGGCGGCGCCCCAACCCCCTGATCGGCCCTGCTCTGTGGGTGATAGAGGGCGGCGCCCCAACCCCCTGATCCGCCCTGCTCTGTGTGTTACAGGGGGCGGTGCCCCAACTCCCCTTTTGGCCCTACTCTGTGAGTGACAGGGGGGAGCTCCTCAACCCCCTGATGGGCCCTGCTCTGTGCGTGACAGGGGGGAGCTCCCCAACCCCCTGATCGGCCCTGCTCTGTGCGTGACAGGGTAAGGAGCCCCAACCCCCCTGATGGGCCCTGCTCTGTGCGTGACAGGGGGCAGCGCCCCAACCCCGATTGGCCCTGCTCTGTGCGTGACAGGGGTGGCACTGCAACCTCCCCATGGACCCTGCCTTGAGTGTGACAGGGGGCGGTGCCCCAACCCCCCAATCGGCCCTACCCTGAGCGTGACTGAGGGTGGCATCGCAACCTCCCTATCCGCCCTGCTCTGTGCATGATAGGGGGCGGTGCCCCAACTCCCCAATCGGCCCTGCTCTGAGCCCGACCAGGGGCTTCACCTAGGGATTGGGCCTGCCCTCTGCCACCGGGGAGCAGGCCTAAGCCAGCAGGGCGTTATCTCCCGAGGGGTCCCAGACTGCAAGAGGGCACAGGCCGGGCTGAGGGACCCTCCCTTCCCCCGGAGTGCACAAATTTTTGTGCACCGGGCCTCTGGTCCTATATAATAAAAGCCTAATATGCTAAGTGTCTCATCTTCTGATCATCCGTTCAACCAATCAAAGTGTAATATGCTAATGATATGCTAAGGTCACTCAACTGCTTGCTATGATATGCAATGACCACCAGGGGGCAGACAGTCAACTGGTAGGTTAGCTTGCTGCTGGGATCTAGCCGATCGGGACTGAGCAAGACTGGCCAGACATGCCCTGGAGCCCTCCCATGGTCCCTCCTGAGCTGGCCAACCTCCCATGTCCCTCCCAGGCCCCAATTGTGCACCAATGGGGTCCCTCGGCCTGGCCTGTGCCCTCTTGCAATCTGGGACCCCTCAGGGGATGTTGGAGAGCTGGTTTTAACCCGATCCCGAGGCCAGGCCAAGGCACCCCACTGGTGCACAAATTCGTGCACTGGGCCTCTAGTACAAATATAAAACTCAACAATAAGAGGCACCCTGGCTAGGTAGCTCAGTTGGTTAGAGCATCAGCCTGATACACCAAGGTTGTGGGTTTGATCCCTGCTCATGGCACACACATGAATCAACCAATGAATGCATAAATAAGTGGAACAACAAATCAATGTGTTTTTCTCTCTCCCTCCTTTCTCTCTAAAATTAATCAATAAAAAATTTTTTAAAGCCTCAACAGTAAGAGAACAACCCAATTTAAAAAGACCAGAACAGACACCAAAGAAGACTATACATGGCAAATCCTATATAATAAAAGGGTAATATGCAAATAGATTGAGTGGCAGAACAACCACTGAAAGCACAATATGCTAATGATATGCTAAGGCTGCTCAACCGCTTGCTATGAGACATGCACTAAACATCAGGGGGCAGACAATTAACTGGTCAACCAGTCTCTATGATGTGCAATGACCACCAGGGGGCAGATGCTCTGACCGGTAGGTTAGCTTGCTGCTGGGGTCCGGCCGATCGGGACTGAGCCCGATCGGGATTGAGCAAGTGCCGGGAGCCAGTCCATCCTTGCTGTTTCAAAGGACCTGGCATATATGGCATACTGTCCTTAAAATGTTTGCTCACCTTCTTGGCACTATGTGTTTTAACCAAGGTCTCTGAGAAAGGTTGTTTCCCCAAGTATGGATTTTCCCCTGAAGTTAGGGAGGGAATAAAACCTCTTAACTAAGTGCCAGGCGGGTAATTAATCACTTTAACTATGAACAATCATGCTTAAGCTACATAATCTTTACTCCCTGGAATGGAGATAAGAAACGCCCTAACCTTTGGAATAGAGATTGATAGGATTGAATCAACTGGTATAAATACAGACGTAACAAGACAGCAAGACACAGAACTTAGAATACAGAGCTTAGAACACAGAACTAAGAAGACAGAACCTACAGACAGAAGAACTTCGCTGGAGAGAACATGGCAAAAGATCCTGGACTGAACCTGACTACAGAAATTGGCAAGAGAACCTGACTAGAACCTGGACAGAACCTGGCTGGAGAACCTAGCGAGGGAACTTGGCTACAGAACCTGGCTGGAGAACCTGGAGAACCTGGCTGGAGAACCTAGCAAGACAACATGGATACAGAACCTGGCTGGAGATCCTAACCAGAACTTCTCTGGAGATCCAGACCAGAACTTGGCTGGAGATCCTGGCTAGGCTGCTGATCAACTGAACACTGTCTCCGTGTCCTTCCTTCTTCGCCGACTCCGTCTACACCTTTGGGGACCCCTGGACCTGCTGGGGCCGGACCCCAGCAAGCAAGATGGGCCAGACACGCCCTGGACCCCTCCTGCAGTCCCTCCCCGGCCTGATCGTGCACCGGTGTGGTCCCTCAGCCTGGCCTGTGCCCTCTCACAATCCGGGACCCCTCGGGGGATGTTGGAGAGCTGGTTTCAGCCCGATCCCGCAGGGAGGGTACCAGACACAGGGCTCACGGCTGGTGAGCGCTGCTGCAGCAGCGTGAGCCTCTCCTGATTGGGACTGATTGGACAAGCCAGTGGCAGGCACAGTGGGGCCGGGATGAGTGGGAGCGGCAGGTAGGAGCTGCAGGCTGTGTTGGACTACGGGTTTCGGCCTGATCCCTGCAGGCCACCCAGAGGGACCCCACCCGTGCACAAATTCGTGCACCGGGCCTCTAGTAAGCATATAAAAAGATGGTTAACATCATGTCACCATAAGGCAACAAATTAAAACAACAGTGAGATACCACTACACACCTATTAAGATCATTAAGATGATCAAAATCCAAAACACCAGTAACATCAAATACTGGTGAGGTTGTGGAGCAACAGAAATTCTCAGACTCATTGGTGGTAGGAATGCAAAATAGTGCAGACCTTTATAAGGTCTGAAAAACAGTTTGGCAGTTTCTTACAAATCTAAACATATTCTTACACTATTCAGCAATGAATTGAAAACCTCTGTCTACACAAAAACCTGCACATAGATGTTTATAGCAGTTTTACTCATAATTGAAAGCAACCAAGATGCCCTTCAATAGGTAAATGAATAAACAAATTCCATACAATGGAATATTATTCAGCAATAAAAAGAAGTGAGCTCTCATGCCACAAAAAGATACGGAGAAACCTTAAATGTACATTGCTAAGTTAAAGAAGCCAAGTTAAAGAGACAGTAAAAACATTCATGGTTGTAAGGGGTTTGGGGGAAGGGATGCAGGGATGAATAGGTGGAGCACAGGAAATAACTAGGGCAATGAAACTATTCTGTATAATACTGTAATGGTGGGTAGGTGTCATTACAGATTTGTCAAAACCCACAGACCATACAGCACAGTGATCCCTTTAATTAATAATAATGCATCAATATTGGCTCATCAATTGTAACAAATGCACCAGAATAATGAAAGATGTTAATAACAGGAGAAACTGTGTGTGTATCTGTACTTTCCTTCAATTTTTCTATAAACCTAAAACTCTTCTAAAAAATAAAGCCTATTAATTGTTCTTTTATTTTTAGAGAGAGAGAAGAAGGGAGGGAAGAAGAGGGAGGGAAGGGGGGAGGGGGGAGGGAGAGAGAGAGAGAAAGAGACAGACAGACAGACAGACAGACATAGATTTCTTGTTTCACTTATTTATGCATTAATTGGTCAATTCTTATATGTGCCTTGACTGGGGATCAAACCTTGGTGTATTGGGACAAAACTCTAACCAACCGAGCTACTTGGCTAGGGTTAAAGCCTATTAATTAAAAGTAAACCTCTTCAATAAACTTCTTACCAGGTCTAATGAAGACATTTTCCACAGACAACATTGCTGCTATTGGAAGTAGTAGATCTTCACAGTCCAGAGAAGCAGCCTTTATTACTGCACATGTCAGATGTGGAGGGAGAGGAAATTCTACCATAGACAAACCCAATCTGGTCACATGTCCATTCCTTAATAGAAAAAAAAGTTATTATGTCTTTCTACTTTGGGAGAGTACAAATGAAATGCTCATCATTCAGAATAAATCAGATATAATTTAGATTACCTTCAATCACCCCCATAAATTCAATTTAAGAAACATGATACACTGTAGTCATAGATAAGAAAAACATCAATAAATTCCTTCTTGTCAAGGGCCAGTACATTCAAAATCCTAAACAATGATGCAAAATAAAGTAGTATAATAGACACAAAATGCTATGGAAACACAGAGGATGTCCTTGAAGTAATGGAAGCAATGAAAGAGTGATAATTACCAAATCCTTCTCCATCACACAGTCATGAGAACAAGGATTCTGGCTCTCTTATCATTTTGATATACCCAGCATAATGCCTGGCACTGAAATAGTACTCAGAAATTACTCGTTAAATAGTACTAATATTGAACAAAATTCATTTTATGGTATAATTTGTAAATTCAGAATTGTGGTGAAAAAAGGCTGAAGACAATTTCTAATTTCAGGTAAAACAATCCACTCAATTCAAACAAATTATTTTATACTTATAAGGAAAGTATTAAGAAGCCTATTTTAAAAAGAAATTAACATCTGTTATGGTCAGGTTTTGGAGGAGGGATTTTGTTTGGTTGTCTCTTTACCTGTCAATAGCATCACACTGATAAAGTTGTTTAAGGGCTTCCAAAATAAGTCTCTCATTAGGTGGGTCCAAATAAGGAAACCTGTGTTTACATGAGATATAAAATGAGATCCCATTTCTTGAACACAATACGATTTTATACAGACTTGAAACTTCCTTTAAAAGGTTTTAGCGCTCCTATTTTTCAAATACTCTCTTCTTTTTTTAAGGCATCCTATGATCATGATCAGCATTCAGCAAAAGAGGAAATAAGTTTTTCTGAATCATAGTCTTTGATTAATTCGAGAAGCACCTGTTTTTGATCTCCTTAGCTGGAACACCCTCGCCATTCCTCTTATCTGAATCCTGCCCCATTCTTCACAGCCCAATGTCAACTCTATTCTGTTCTTAGTCCACAATTTTATTATAAGTTTATAAAACAATGGAGAAAAATTCACTGAAAGTGGCCAAAAATTACAGAATATTTAATAGTACTTCAAAATGGCTTTTGATAAAAAGGCAAGTATGTTCAATTAATTTTACCACATTTGCTTTATGTATCTGTATGTACCAATTACTTATTTCTCCTGAACGCTTAAGGCAAGCTGCAAATACAATGCTTATTCATCCCCAAAATACTCAGCATGCATCCCCTGAAAATAAGGACATTCTCTTACATAACCACAATATCATTAATAAACATAGAAGAATTAATAATATTCACGAAGGATAACAGTGGCATATAACCAAGCATGAATATATATACATACTTTTAAACAGGAGCAATAGTTACTTGATTATACCAATCTTGTTTCTCCAGTGTAACTTAAGCTTACTGAAAGTAAAAAACTACTCGAGTATTACCGTTTCTTATAGTGCATAGTACACAAAGCTGGCTCTACCAAAGATGCTACAAAAAAAACCTACCATTTTATCTGGAATTATGATCATTATATACCTTTCATAACAGATAAACAGTGGTCACTAAATGACCCAAATAATATCAGCATGAGGCACACCATTACACCAAGTTTAAAATATGAGCAAGGGCCTGCCTGGCATGGCTCAGTGGTTGAATGTTGAGCTACAAACAAGGAGATCATGCTTCAATTCCAGTCAGAGCACATGCCTGGGTTGCAGGTTCAATCCTCATTAGGTGGTGTGCAAAAGGCAGCCGATCAATGATTCTCTCTCATCATTGATGTTTCTATCTCTCTCCCTCTCCCGTCCTCTCTGAAATCAATAAAAACATATTTTAAAACAAATATGAGCAAGGGGCCAAATTCTAATAAAGCATCAGAAAGAAGCCTCTTGTATGGGTTTACTTGAACCTTGAGATATAGGGATATCTAAGCCAAATACTTCAAAAGGATTTCTGAGAATTAACCAGGCTCCACCCTAACACATTTTCCTTTCTTTAAAAGCTGTCTACATACCTTATAACATCGTGTATGGCAAGGCACTTTAAGGTCAAAACTACAGATGTCAAACTAGTTCTCTTAATCTCAGGGATCACATGGTCGGGCATACACTGGTTCCAAAAATCTTTACTATAGATCCGAAAGCATTTTCCTGAGGAAGTCCTACCAGCTCGACCACTTCGCTGTAACGCCTCACTCCTTTAGAAGAAAGAAAAACAAAAGTCCCTAAAATGTTCAGCATGGAGGAACCTGGAGAGTATTATGCTAAGCAAAACAAGCCAGTTAGAGAAAGACAAGTATCTTACTCATGTGGAATCTAATGAACAAAATAAACTGGTGAACAAAATAGATCCTGAGACATAGAGGAAAGGAACAGACTGTCAAATCTCAGAGGGAAGGCGGAGGTAGGTGGGTGGGAAGAGATCAACCAAAGAACTTGTATGCACATGGACACAAACAATAGGGTGGTGAGGGCCAGGTGCGGGGGGTAGGGGCAGGCTAGAAGGAGACAATGGGGGGAAGATGGGGGACACATGTAATACTTTCAACAATAAAGATTAAAAAAATAATGTTCTGTGTTTCCTAAGCAATTCACCTCCCACCCTGAACCAACTAGAAATTATCTAATTCATGGTTCTTTGAACAAAAAGGCGTGACATAGAGACTTACTTTGAAATTGGGACCACCTCCAGGATGTCCAACCCTAATCTGGGATTGTGATTTAACTGCTTCACAAAGCCACCATCTACCACATACCTAAGAAGAATGAAAACAAGTTAAGTTTCTAGAAAATACGGAAAGAGTTGTTAATTTTCAACCACTATGGAATCTCCTTTTTCACCAAACTAACAACTACATGATGACTTTAATGTTAACTGTAAAACCTGAAAGTCAAGAAATTGGAGCTTCATACATTCCTGCTGGAAATGTAAAATGGTTCAGCCAATGTAATGTGGAAAAAGGTTTGAAGGTTCCTCAAAATGTTAAACACAGAATTACCATGTGACCCAGAAATCCATTCCTAAGTAAGCACCCCAAAGAACTGAAAACAGGACTCAACACATACTTGTAGATGTATGTTCATAGCAGCACTGTTTGTAAGAACCAAAAGGTAGAAACAACCTAAATGTCCATGGCCCATTAAGAAATGAATAGATGCATAAATTATGGTATCTATATATATGAAGCCTAAGTGACTGTTCGACCGGTAGCTATGTCATGCACTGACCACCAGGGGGCAGATGCTCAATGCACAGGAATGAAAACATGGAACAGACTGATGAATCTCAGAGGGAAGGGGGGAAGGCGAGAAGAGATTAACCAAAGATCTTATATGCATACTAGAGGCCCGGTGCACAGATCCGTGCACTGGTGGGGTCCCTCAGCCTAGCCTGCGGTGACTGGGCTGAAATCGGCAGTCTGACATGTCCCAGGGGGTCCCAGATTGTGAGAGGGCACAGGCCAGCCAGAGGGACGCCACCAGTGCACGAATCCGTGCATCGGGCCTCTAGTATACATATAATGGCATATATGTCATATTCTGAGTTACTGTTTAAAGTGTACAGGATTTTATTTTGTGGTGATAAAAATGTTTTAAAACTAGAAAGAGTTGCCCTAGCTTGTTTGGCTCAGTGGATAGAGCGTTGCCCTGCAGACTGAAGGGTCCTGGGTTCTATTCCAATCAAGGGCACATGCCTGGGTTTGGGCTCAATCCCAGTGGTGGGCATGCAGAAGACAGCCAACCAATGATTCTCTCTCATCATTGATCAGCTGAACAATGATTCTCTCATATCATTGATGTTTCTATCTCTCTCTCCCTCTCCCTTCCTCCCTGAAATCAATAAAATAATTAAAAATTTAAAAATTATATAATAAAATACTTTTTAAAAAACTAAATAGAGTTGGTTGCACAATGTTGTAAATGTACTAAATACTACTTAATTGTTCAGTGTTAAATGTTAATTTTATGTTCTACGAAATTGAGCCCAGCCGCTGTGGTTTAGTGGTTATCATCGACCCATGAACCAGAAGGTCATGGTTCGATTCCCAGTTGGGGCACATGCCTTGGGCACATGTGGGCTCGATCCTTAGTAGGGGATGTGCATGGGGCAGCTGATGAATGATTCTCTGTCATCATTGATGCTTCTATTTCTCTCTCCCTCTCCCTTCCTCTCTGAAATCAATAAAAAATATACTTAACAAAAGAAAAAAAAGAGTGAACATAAATATAATATGCACTTCCTACTCCATTTCCCTATTTATTGCAATCAATAATTACAAAAATGATAGGTGACTTCAAATTAAGCAGGTGAGAAGGGAATTAGTGGAGGGCATGGAGAAGCAAACTCAATGTTTTATGATTAGCTAAGTGGCTTTCTTGGCTTTAAAAGAATTTTTTAAAGTTGTACCTGATTCCATCTATTGTCAAAGATGTTGCAGAAATATTAGTGGATATGACACATTTTCTAATTCCAGGTGGAGGTGGCAAAAATATTCTCCTCTGTTGATCTAAAACATATGTAAAAGGAAAATACTAATTTATAACATGCATTTGTCCAACTCAAGTTTTGAAAAAGTAACTTCTTTCCATTAAAAGTTATATTCTCTTCACCTCTTTAATTATCTTGAATTCAAAATATAATAGCAAAACTATTTTTCCTCACCTTTCACTGTTAAGGTTTCTAGATCCATGGACTCAGTTTATTATTGCTAAAATAAACCCTACAGCAGACGCCTTTATGTAGGTCATAGCTCCCTTTGAGAATATTTTAAAACCATGAACCTCTTCTCCATTAAAAGACTCATTTGTACACACACACAAAATTTTCAAACAATTCCCATTTAAGGGCTACAGATTAAGGACCTCTCTCTGCCTTAAAGACTGATTAGCTAAGTAGTTTTTACTTTTTCAGTGTCTGCCCAACTCATGACTACCTCTCTAAACAAGTACCACACTCATTTCCACTACCCACACTCTGAAGGGTGGGCCCCAGCAGCAATGCTTATAGGATGGTATTTGCTCTGATTTATAGCACCAAGGATAAACATCTCCCCCAAGTTGGGCCAATCTGATTCTCCTATGAATTTGGAAGAAGGTCCAAGAGATGCTCAATTTGATTAGGCTAGTCTCTTGCAAAGAGGAAAAGTAAACTTGTCATAGGAAAATGACTAAAGAAAGTAAAGGACAGAAATCTAGTCTAAAGAGAGAGAAATATGAATCAGACTTGAGAGTTAACAAGAGAGTATTTCTGAGTTCCTGGCACTTCCCAGGCCTTAAGAGGCCTGGGTGTAAATTAAATAGAAAGATGGATTTGGCCTTTAAGAATAAAAATTAAAATTTTCAGACAATCTGACAGAAAAAGCAAATCACTTACAGGGAAGGGGAAAAAATCAGGCTGGCCTCAGATGCCTCCACAGCAACATTCAATGCCAGAAGATAACTGGACAACGTCTACCAATTTCTAAGGAAAAGAAAGTGTGACCCAAGAACATAAAACCCAGCCAAGATGTACTTCAAGTAAAAAGGCAAAAGCCAGACATTCTCAAACATAAAAGAGCAACAAAAAAATAGTACTCAAGCCCAGCTGGCATGGCTCAGTGGTTGAGCATTGACCTATGAACCAGGAGGTCATGATTCGATTCCTGGTCAGAGTACATGCCAAGGTTGTGGACTCGATCCCCAGTGTGGGGTGTGCAGGAGGCAGCTGATCAATGATTCTCTCTCATCACTGATGTTTCTATCCCTCTCCTTCTCCTTTCCTCCCTGAAATAAACAAAAATAATTATTAAAACAAAACAAAACAAAACACTCAAGAGCCCTTCTATTTTAAAAAAGTTAACAAAAGTAAGCCAATCTAAAGTTAACCAAAAGTAACGTAGGAATGAAAAAAAAACAGTTTAAAAAAATTGATGGTAAACACTAAATACATCAGAATAATATAATAACAAAAATTAGAAGAGGATATAGAAGAGTAAAAGTATTTAAGTCCTCATCAGATAAGTAAACAGGTAAGATCTCTAATCAAATATGTTCTGAAAGAAGATACTAACTTCAGCTTAATATTTTTCATCTTGCTAAACTTTAAAGCAAACTTTTACAAAATATTATCTCATGTGGTAAAGATTAACTTGAAGTTTAATAATTCCTTCAAGTAAATTCAAGTAAAATTAAATATATTTTTAAAAAATAGTGCCCTGGCAGAGTAGCTTAGTTGGTAAGAACATCCTCCCAATATGCCAAGGCTACAGGTTTGATCCCCAGTCGGGGCACATATAAAATCAGCCAATGAATGCATAAATAAGCAGAGCAACAAATCCATGTCTCTCTCTCTCTCCCCCTTCCACCCTCTCTAAAAAATCAATAAATAGCCCTAGCTAGTTTGGCTCAGTGGACAGAGCGTCGGCCTGCGGAACAAAGGGTCCTGGGTTCAACCCGTCAAGGGCACGTACCTTGGTTGCAGGTGCCTCGGGCTCTGGCCCTGGTCGGAGGCAACCAATCGATGTGTTTCTTTCACATCGATGTTGCTCTCTGTCTTTCCCTCTCTCTTCCACTTTCCCTAAAAATCAATGGAAAAATATCCTTGGGTGAGGATTAACAAATAAATAATAAAAATAAAAACCAATAAAAATATATTTAAATGTATAAAGAAAAAGTCCAGAACAATATATCTCAAAATGTTAATAGTGATTAGTGCTTAGCCATGTTAGTGGAATCTAAGTTTAAGTAATTTTCTTACTTTGCTGATTTTTTTTAAAGAATGTATGTATTTATAAGCCAAAAAAATATTTTCTCATTTGGGGAAGTTCCACACAGAACAGAAGTTTTTATGTGAAGCTTACTAATCTTATTCCCCTACACCAGGGGTCTTCAAACTATGGCCCGCGGGCCACATGCAAATACAAATATTGTATTTGTTCCCGTTTTGTTTTTTTACTTCAAAATAAGATATGTGCAGTGTGCATAGGAATTTGTTCATAGTTTTTTTTTAAACTATAGTCCGGCCCTCCAACAGTCTGAGGGACAGTGAACTGGCCCCCTGTTTAAAAAATTTGAGGACCCCTTCCCTACACCTTTAATCTTAACATTTAAAGAAACTATTGTAAACAAAGCAAATTCTAGTTACCTACCATATTGAGGTAATGCCTTTGTTTTGCAGGAAGAAAACTATTTGGGGATTTATGTACTAATCTAAGCAAGCAGTTTTCCTCTTTTAAGATGTTGTACATTAATTCAAGGTAAAACTCCTTTCCTGTTCTTCATGTATTTTGGAAACACATACTGTCTTATCACCCACTACCAAATAAATAACCAGTTATCAAATACAGATGTACCATGTGACATCAGGGACATCACTTAGCCTCTACTGTAAAATAAAGAAGTCTGATTAGCAAGACCATATAGTATATGTATGTGTGTGCGTGCGCATGTGTGTGCATTTTTCTAGAGAAACAAGCCATGACTTTTATTACCTTTTTAAAAGAATCTGAGACCCTACCCTCTAAAAGAGACTAAGAAGCACTGAATTCGATCATTACTTTTAGTGCTAAAATTGTCTAATTCCATGCAAACATTTGTCACTTATGTAAAAACAGGTATATTTCAGTTCATACCTTTTTGTGGGGTTCAGCTTTCCCTAGATGCATGACAAGTCTGAGAAACTACAATACCCCGAACCAAAGAAGGAAGTCAGAAGAGCAAAGAGGTTTGAGAGAAACAAGAAAAAGGTTCAAATCATAGCATTTGTTGAAAGTCCTGCAGAAAGTAAAAAATCTGGAACTCAGTCTAACAAGTATTTAATGAGGACTTTTCAAAATATTGTACTTGCCTTCAAGAGGTTCACAGTCTCTTTGAGAGGATGAGACAACCACAACACGAGGTAGAACGTGTTAAGTGCCACAAGAGGTACAGCAAAGCATGAGGTTCAAAATGAAGAAGAGATCACAGCGGGTTGTGAGGAGGGAAACGGGGAAAAATTTTTATGGAGTTGGTGAAACAAAATAGCAGGATTTCAGTCAGTGAGAGGGGAGAAACGAGAAAGGAGACGTTCAAGTTAAGGAAATAGCAAACAGTTACCAAAAAAGCTGTGGGAGGAAAAGGATTTAAAAAATCCCACCAGCACTTCTAGCTTGAGAGATTGTCACAAAGGGTGGGGTTGGGAAGTTCAGCCCAGGGAGCGGGACTGTGTAACCTCGGCAGCAGAAAGGACACCACAGCACCTCTTCACACTTGACAGATGAGAATTTTTTCTGCCAGTTAACAACATACTTTAAGGTGTCTCTTTAAAACACTCAGCCACCCTCATGACTAGCCCAGAAATAAGCAAATATAAAATATCCACAATTATAATTTTTACTGATTCACTAAACTTAGACATGGGTCATTTTTGAACCCCCTTCCTACAGGCTACAAGCAGGAAACCCTTCTTCCTTCTCCTCACTCCCCAGTTCAAGTTTTCTGTTCCTGAAATAAAGGAAGTAACATAACAGTGTCTTTCCCCACCACCCGAAATAGCAATAATAAAGAAAAAAAAATTGCTGTATTGTATCAAGCAGGTTTAAAAAGAAAGCCTAAGGGCCCAGGAACCTGACACGCTCCCTATCTTGTCTAAGTCCACCTCACCCATTACTTAGTGCCTCATCAGCTCCATTGAATGCTGCTTTGCACTGTTATAAACTGCTGTAATTAATACTATTATGCTCGCCCTACTTGGTTTGGTTCAGTGGATAGAACATCGGCCTGTGGACTCAAGGGTCCTGGGTTTGATTCCAGTCAAGGGCACATGCCTGGGTGTGGCTCGATCCCCAGTTGGGGGCATGCAGGAGACAGCCAATCAATGATTCTCTTTCATCATTGATATCTCTATCTCTCCCTCTCCCTTCTTCTCTGAAATCAATAAAAATATATTTTTAAAAAAAACTATTATGCTCATAATGGATCGCCAGTAGCTTGCCCTTATAGTGCCCTTGGAACCAGAAAGGAAACTAAAATAAATACAACCCTTCAGTAATGGCTCTACTCACACCCAGCCCCACATCGTTACTGTGTGCATATGCACTGGGAATTAAGGCTGAAAGCAGGTTGCAGTCATGCTGGAAAGATACTGAATGGCAACTTAATAAGTTGGCACTTTAATTCAGTCGGGAATAACAGCTGAAGGTACCCAACAGGATACTGACACAATCAGAGCTGTGCTGTTGGAAGATCAGCACTGCACATAGGATGGCCAATAAAATCAGGGAAAACCGATTAGCAGGCTATGGTTAACAACTCAGAAAGGCAAACTAAGGATCCCAAATCTAACAATGATAATGAAAAACTAAAAAGAATGAGAGATCTGGATAAGACAAGGGTAAAGAAAACCTGCAGGAGTTGCCACCTGTTTGGATTCAATGATCTAGGTCAGTGGTCGGCTAACTCATTAGTCAACAGAGCCAAATATCAACAGTACAATTGAAATTTCTTTTGAGAGCCAAATTTTTTAAACTTAAACTATATAGGTAGGTACATTGTTATTAACTTAATTAGGGTACTCCTAAGGCTTAGGAAGAGCCACACTCAAGAGCGCGCTTTCAGGAATCGTCCACAGAGAAGTGAAAGGTGAATCCTAGGGTCCAATTTCACCAAACACATTTTTAAGAAAACAGCAAGCTACAAATGAAACTAGAAAGTAGTCACATTTAGAAGGGAACAAAGGCTGGAGAAAGTGGAAAGGCAGAAGCCTTAGAGAAAGATTGCTCAGGAGAACTAGATAATTAAATAGTATCCCAAAAGATAACATTTCAGAGACCTATTATTGTCATCACAAAATCAAAATACATCATGGCCATGAGATTTGAGAAATAAGTCCCTAGCAACCTTTAACAGTATAAGAACTGGATTTCAGGATGCTAAACAAGAAGCAAGAACAGATATAGAACGTTATTTTCAATGTGGTAATAAGGAGGAAAGAATAGCCCTAGCTGGTTTGGCTCAGTGGATAGAGCGTCAGTCTGCGACTGAAGGGTCCCAGGTTCGATTCTGGTCAAGGGCACATGCCCAGGTTTCAGGCTCACTCCCCAGAAGGGTGTGTGCAGGAGGCAGCCAATCAATGATTCTCTTTCATCACTGATGTTTTGATCTCTCTCCCTCTCCCTTCCTCTCTGAAATCAATAAAAATATATTTTTAAAAAAGATTATATTTATATATTTACATATATATACATTTATATATATTTACATATATTTATTTTATATGAAAAAATATAGTTAGTTAATGGTTAATAATAAAGCAACCGTAATTGTTTTTAATTACCTTATCAGTTTTAAAGCAAATTTTAAGAGTCATTAGATCAAATCCCCAGAAAACAATAAGAACCTTAAATATCTAATGATGACCTTAAAAATTCCGTTTAAGATGTAAAAATCTAAAAATAGATTTCAATATCGAAAGAAAGGGCCTAATATCATCACAAAAGACATTTCCATAATAGCATGTGGTCTATGGTTATTTACCAACACATATATTCCTGAACTTTTTTATTAATATGAGAAGAATCACCTACTCAATAAAAACAAAAACACACATAAAAAAACATGTTTTTTACATTACATTAAATGCTAATCCCAATCAAACTCTATGGCTACAGTTAATTTTCCTTTAGTTTTACAAATCAAATCTCTAATAAAATAGTTTTACACAAAAACTCTAAACCTCACTTAACAACATTTATCATGAACAATATCAGAATAAGAGTTTGCATATGCTCTTTGAATTTACATCATTCTTGAAAAGTAGGCTAATACGTGAACACTTAAAAAATCCAGTGTTGCCCTGGCCAGGTAGCTCAGTTAGTTAGAGCATCATCACCAAGGCTGCTGGTTGGATCCCTGGTCATGACACATACAAGGATCAACCAATGAAAGAATGAGTAAGTGGAACAACAAATCAATGTTTCTCTCTCTCTAAAAAAAGTAAAAATAAAAAATAAAAACTCCCACTGTGTTTAGTCTCAGATATATCTGGATATGTAAGATTTGTAGAAGCTCTGTGGCGGTGGCAAATAAGGTTTGAGTTACGGTACTACTATCAAGAAATTATAGTCCTTATTTCGAAAAATTACCAACAATATTTTTGTTCCAGTGGGAGATGTAGGTCACTCTTAATAATGCTAAGGGGCATGTGGAAGACCCTTGGAAAAGACTTCAAGAAAAAAATCACTCTGCCTTAACCGGTTTGGCTCAGTGGATGGAGCGTCGGCCTGCGGACTGAGGGTCCCAGGTTCGATTCTGGTCAAGGGCATGTATCTTGGTTGCGGGCACATCCCCGGTGGGGGGGTGTGCAGGAGGCAGCTGATCGATGTTTCTCTCTCATTGATGTTTCTAACTCTATCCCTCTCCCTTCCTCTCTGTAAAAAATCAATAAAATATATTTAAAAAAAGAAAAAAATCACTTCTCTCAAGGGATGCTGGTTCTCTTAATGTTCTGTTTCATGTTGTGGGTGTTAGTTACAAAGGTGAGTGCAGTTTGTGAAATTCATTGACCTAAAAATAAACATTTAGGACTTGTGTGTGCACCTTTCTGCACATATGTGATTTTTCAATAAAATGTTTTTTAAAATCAATCAAATTTTCTATGCGAATGAGGAATTAATTACCTGTTGTCATAGATCCATAACATGGCAAAATTAATAAGCCATCTAGAGTGGTATCTTGAACATCATAATCATAATCAACAGACTCTGCCATCTGAAAAAGTAATTCACAACTTTTTTCTATTTCAAATTGACCTGAAATGAGGGGAGAAAACACCATCAGCAACTGAATAGCAAAGTTAATTTAAGAGTGAAAAAAAGACCTTCTAAATTAAAATCAGTTTTGCATAATAGTTATTTTAAATCTCTCATTTGATCTAAAGGAGATGAACACATAAGTTGTCCAAATCTCAACAGTAAAATAAAAAATAGAAGAAACACCCGTTTCCAAGGAATTTAACTCTCTAAAGGAATAAAAATGTTTATAATCTTTTAGCCTTTCATGTTATTTAACGTGGTTTTTGAGGAAGATTCAGTAAGGTTAATCATTAATATAAGGGATTCTAGTCCAGGAGATACTGCATTTCGGTGTGTTTCAAAATACTTAAGGAATCTTAAAATGGCAAAGTGGCTGTTGCAATGTCTCACTTCTGACATCAGTAGAAGGCAAAGTAGGAGGCGAGTGATGAAATGACTCATTTCTGCTAATAGGACGCTATTACTTGAGGAATCACATTAATCTGGGATTTTTGTCCTACAAAAAAGGCTCATCTCTGAGACATGGATTCCACACCTTATATACTGCTATCATATAATAGCACCCAGCCACTCAAAGGAGAAAGGAGCTGGTAGGATATCTTTTGAAATAATAAAATTAATCATTCAGATTCAGGACTGTATAGTGTGGTAATACTTCTATATGAGATAGACCAGAGGTGGGCAAACTTTTTGACTCGAGGGCCACAATGGGTACTTAAACTGGACCGGAGGGCCGGAACAAAAGCATGGATGGAGTGTTTGTGTGAACTAATATAAATTCAAAGTAAACATCATTACATAAAAGGGTACGGTCTTTTTTTTCAATAGTTTTATTCATTTCAAACGGGCTGGATCCGGCCCGAGGGCCATAGTTTGCCCACGGCTGAGATAGACTAATAAAAATATTAGTCTATTTAATATCTTTACTATTTAATATCTTTCTACTAAAAGGTCAGTGTGTTTTACATGTCCACTAATGAGACTGGCATTTTTAATGGCAGTGTAGAATTATCTTACATAAGACATAAAATCTGTAACTATTCAAATTGTCATAAAAAGCTGCAGCAACATGAGTACCACCCAGATTTCCCAACAAAGACAGTACTTGATTATGGTGCCATGTGCCCTCTCATAAACAGTCATCTTAAACCTGATACTGAATGCTCACCAGTCAGAAAAACCAAGATGTCTCCAGCCATTTCATTCAAATGGATATCCATGGTCACTTTCACAATCTAAAGCAAGAAACACAAGCATAATATACTAGTGGAAATACAGTCCCCTACCCCCACCTCCCCTTGTTCCACAGAAAAATTAAATTTGGTTCTCAGAAGTCTTAGGAGAGGCCATTAGAATAATAGGGAACTGCCTGGCCAGGTGGCTCGGTTGGTTGGAGCATTGTCCCATGCACCAAAAGATTGGGGGTTCAATTCCTGGTGAGGGCACATAATGGAGGCAGATGTTTCCCTCTCACATCCATGTTTCTCTCTCTCTTGATTTCTCTCTAAAAATCAATTTAAAAAAAATAGCCTGGCCAGCATGGCTCAGTGGTTGAGCACTGACCTATGAACCAGAAAGTCACAGTTTGATTCCTGGTCAGGGTACATGCCCAGGCCGCAGGTTCGATCCCCAGTGTGGGGTGTGCAGAAGGCAGCTGATTAATGATTCTCTCTCATCATTGACGTTTCTATCTCTCTCCCTTCCTCTCTGAAATCAATAAAAATATATATTTTTTAAATGATAATAATGGGGAACAAATAAATTATCAAACTATACAATCAACTAGAATCACAGATATAAAAAAGATGCAAAGTAATACCGCTTGAATATATGCAGTATTTTCTTTGTCTCGTGGGCCGATCAAATTGCAGAATTTTTCTCTGACTGGATAAAGCCTTCCTGGTATATCAAATATTGGACAATTTCCAAAGAATGCAGAGAGCTTGGCTAATTCCATAGTTGCTGACATCACCACGACCTTTAAATGCTCCTTCCTGTTAGGAGACTTCTCCTGAAATAGCTTCTTCAATAAACCAAACAAGATGTCCTGAAAGAAAAGTAAATTTCTAATAAGTATACATAACAACCTCTTTTTAAATATTTTGTTTCCCTAACCAAAGACTCCCTATTTCAATAGATTAAGATGTAAAAGGAGATAGTCCAAAAGCTACCCCGAAGCAAACTGTCTAACAGATAACCAATATATTAAAATACTCACTGTAGTTAGAGTTCTCTCATGGGCTTCATCCAAAATAATGACACTGAACTTGGTAAGATTTGGATCTCCCAGAATATGTTTCAATAAACATCCATCAGTCATATATTTGATTGCTGTTTCCTAATGTTTAAAACACAAAGTTTTAAACAAGGCTAGGAGTTAACAGTAGTGATATACATAAAACAATGGAAGGAAAAAGAAAGACAGTTGCAGTGGCTACTAGGAAGGCAAAGACAGTATTTTAGAGAGTCATTCTGTGCCATAATTAATTGCCATTCCCATTAGGAACCTTACGTAAATCAGGGATTATTTTGTATCTGGTATAAAATTAAGAAATCCCAAGAGAATGTAAATTGTAACTATTAACTATTAAAAAGAAAACAATTTTAAACTTGTTAGTGCCATGAATATAGAAGATGCTCAGTACAAAATACTTGCTGACTTTGTTAATTTAGTTGTCAGTTTTCCATTGACTTCAAGAATACAAGAATACAACATGGATGAACCTTAAAAACATTAGGCTAAATGAAATAAGCCAAAAACAAAGGACAAAATATTGTATGATTCCATTTATGAGATAGGCAAATACAGAGAGACAGAAAGTAAAATAGTAGTTACCAGGGGCTGGGGAGAAGAGGGGGTTACTATTTAACAGATACAGAGTTTCTATTGTGATAATGACAAAGTTTTGAAGACAGATAATGGTGATGGTGACACACATTGTGAATGTACTTAATGCCAGTGAATGGCACACCTAAAAATGTTTAAAATGGTAAATTTTTATGTTATGTATATTTTACAATAAAATGTTTTAAAAAGAATACAAATTTAAGTTATATGTAGGATCCTTGGAGCTAAAAAATAATAAGAGAATTCTAAGAAAAAGAAACATGCCCTAGCACAGTGATGGCGAACCTATGACACGCGTGTCAGAGGTGACACGCGAACTCATTTTTTTGGTTGATTTTTCTTTGTTAAATGGCATTTAAATATATAAAATAAATATCAAAAATATAAGTCTTTGTTTTACTATGGTTGCAAATATCAAAAAATTTCTATATGTGACATGGCACCAGAGTTAAGTTAGGGTTTTCCAAAATGCTGACACGCTGAGCTCAAAAGGTTCGCCATCGCCGCCCTAGCAGGTTTGGCTCAGTGGATAGAGAGTCAGCCTGCGGACGAAAGGGTCCCAGGTTCGATTCTGGTCAAGGGCACATGCCGGTTTTGTGGGTTCGATCCCCAGTAGGGTACGTGCAGGAGGCAGCCAATCAATGATTCTCTCTCATCACTGATGTTTCTATCTCTCTCTCCCTCTCCCTTCCTCTCTCAAAAAACAATAAAAATATATTTAGAAAAAAAGAAAGATAACTGTCACTTAGAAACCAATTGAGAACGGAAAAAATGGGTTAAACAGACATTCCAAAGCATTAACAATGGGCAATAAAAATTAATTCTGAGATTTTGTTTCCTTAAAAATATAAATAGAATTTCAAAGTTAAAATCTTTCATAATTTTTTTCACTCTTTCCATAAGTTTACAATACTTAAACAAATACCAACAAAACTTTTGTACCTTAGAGCTGCAATCATCAAAACGAACTTGGTATCCTACTTTGGATCCCAAAGTGCATTTCATTTCTTCAGCAACCCTCTGAGCCACTGATATGGCAGCTACTTTTCGTGGTTGAGTCACACCGATCATACCATGTTGTGAAAACCCTATCAAAACCAGAGTGAAAACACACAATAATGTTAACAGTTACTTCTTATTAGAGCTAAATTGTTTCTGGTCAATCAATACAAACTATTCAAGTATTTCCCAAACTCTGCAAATTAATAACATAGTATAGTATTACATTTGTATCATGGAAATTTAAGAATTAAAAATAACACATATTAATAATCATTCAAAATGTATATATATTAATTAGGCCCAATTTTTAAAAATCCAATATAAAGCCCTAGCTGGTTTGGCTCAGTGGATAGAGCATTGGCCTGTGGACTGAAGTGCCCCAGGTTTGATTCTGGTCAAGGGCACATGCCTGGGTTGCAGGCTCAATCCCCAGTGGGGGCAGCAGGAGGCAGCCAATCAATGATTCTCTCTCATCATTGATGTTTCTCTCTCCCTTCCTCTCTGAAATCAATTTAAAAATAATCCAATATAAAGATTTACTCTAAAGAGTAAGCCAAGCCCAGTGTGTGGCTCAGTGGTTGAGCATTGACTTACGAACCAGGAGGTCACGGTTCAATTCCTGGTCAGGGCACTGCAGGCTCCATCCCCAGTGAAGGATGTGCAGGAGGCAGCTGATCTCTCTCCCCCTCTCCCTTCCTCTCTGAAATCAACACAAACATCTTTTAAAAATATAAGCCAAACACTTTTAATCTCTAGGAATCCATAAAATTCCACACACTTCCTAAAATAGATTTATCTTTGTCACAGTTGTTTAAATATATCACTTTATATAGATTCTATAGGCACTTTTTTTTTTTTACTATTTAAAATATCTTTGAAAACGAGATGCATCTGACAACTGATGACAGTTTTCCTTCATTAACAGTATGTTAATAGTAAAAAATAGTGGTATGTCTTAATCAATGGCATCTTAGGTTTGATGCATAAGAGTAAGTTAATATAAAAGCTAAGAAGTTTTTAACTGTTTATATGAATATCATCCAATATAATTTTGTTCTATATTAACCTTATGCTAGGAAGTTTTAGCATAATAAAGTTAAAGACACTTTAAGGGTAATTTGTTAGCTGGTGTTAGCACAGTCAGGGAATAAATACCTGATAATGCTCTGGAGAAAGAACTAAGAAATACTAATGTCAGCAACAGATATTAATATATCCCTCTCCCGGAAAAGATTTCAATACCTAATGGTGAATAGTCTACTGCAAGACAACCTTATTCTATAGCAGAGAATCAGTATATACCTATAGTTTTACTTGGGATTATTATGATAATTAAAAATGGAAAAGCTGCCATCTCAACTAACCTCTAAATCTGAAATAAAACCACATTGAAGCAGGGAAGATGTAGGGACAGACCAAGAGAAGAATTGGGTCTATAAAACAAATAGTGGGCATTTGTGGTATACAGAAGTCCTATTAGCCTTTAAGAGGATTTTTTAAAATGTATTTTTATTGATTTCAGAGAGGAATGGAGAGGGAGAGAAGATAGAAGCATCAATGATGAGAGACAATCACTGATTGGCTGCTTCCTGCATGCCCCCGACTGGGGATTGAGCCCACAACCTGGGCATATGCCCTTGACCAAAATCGAACCCAGAACCCTTCAGTCTGCAAGTTGATGCTCTATCCACTGAGCCAAATTGGCTAGGGCAAGAGGGTATTTTTTTCAACCTCCCCGAATTATCCCAGAATATCATTACCTGCTTCATATAGATATTTTGGAAGTTGAGTTGTTTTACCACTTCCGGTATTTCCAGTAACAATAAGGAACGAATTGTCCCTCACAGCTTGAATAAGCTTTTTTCTTTGTTTTTGAATAGGAAAAGTTGGAGTAGTTCCTCCCTCCTGTGATGTGCATCCTTTGTCTTCTGTAATGAGAGAAAAACAATTGTGCAATTAAAAGGTCTGTAAAGATATCTTTGACTCAATTTTCCAGAACTGAAAAGAAAAAGACAATAAAATTTTCGGGTTGGAAAACATCAACCAACGACTTATCAATTAAATCACCTAAGTGTAATTTGTAAGTGAGGGTTTATAAGCCCAGAACAACTTTTTAGCGACATCTAACAAGTTGAGCACTTGCTAATGCATGACTCAAAGTTAGCCTAGTACAAACAAGGCAACGTATATGCAAGTATACCTATACAGAAGCACAAAACCCGATTTTACCAAACAACAGAACAAAAACTGGAACCCAGCAGAAAACTGTCAGCTGAATTAAGAGCCACCTGTGCCTGCTTCTGATTCATGGTTCAAGTTAGGCCCCTGTTCAGAGTGACATATCCCAGAAGGCCAAGTGGTGGGTAACCATGGAAACTGGCTCCTGGAAACTGGCTCCCCCACTGTACCCAAAGGCAGGCTGGCGACCCGACGAAGGCGGAAGGGGGGGTGGGGGGGGGCGGGTAGATGGGTAGAGAACAAAGGCTTTATGCGCCTGGTTAACAGGAGAGCGCGTCTGGGCTTCGGGGTTCACTTTTTGGGCCCCCAGAAGGTTTTCGCTCAACTTGGGTCTGGGACCGCCCCCCTCTAGAGTGGAAGTGCTCCCATTGGACGCCAAGTTCGCTTCTGGCGAGGAGGGCGAGGAGCAGGCTGCGGCCTCCCGCCCACTCTGCTCCGCCGGCCCCGGCGGACTTTTACGCCCCCCGAAACCCGCAGCCGTCACTCTCGCTGGCCAGGGCAGCATCCCGAGGACCGCACCTCTGTCCGCGATGGGAACAGCCGAAGGCCGCTCTTCCTGGGGCTCTCTGGACCGCTCTCCCTCCTCTGGCCGCCTTGGCGCCCTGCCCGCGACGGTGGGAAGCCGGGACATAGACCCGGCCCCGAGCGGAGCGGAGCGCGTCCACCGCGGCGGGGAGACCGGAGGGAAAGGGGCAGGCGCACCCTGATGACGTCGCCGTGTTTACTTCCGCGCGTGCGGCTGGGAGCACGGGCAGGGGAGCTGCTCGATGACGTGTCGCGAGACGGCCGGAAAGCTCCTCCCCCCGCGACCGCGTGGCCCCCGAGCCCAGGGTTTCCCGCCGTCGGCCGGTGTGCGCTGCTCCTCGGGTGCGAAGCCATCCCTCCCAAGGTCTGCCAGGGCCACCTCCGCTCCTCTTGTGCGCAGACGAGCCAGGCGACACCTTTCCCGGGCACGGCGGCCACTGCGCGCCCTCTGCCTTCGCGCACCTGAAGCCATGCGACCCTTTGCCGGGAGCTGGGACCTTCCCAGAGCGCGGCGTCCCGCCATCCATCGCGCCCAGCTCATCCCGAAATAACCTGCCTTCATAAAATGCATTTGAATGTATTTACACGTTTATTTTCTTCCCCTTTCCTCCGAGTAGACACGAGGACGGGAACTTTAGAAAACCATAGTACACGCAGAGCCCAGCAAAGCCATTCAAAGTGGGCCGTCCATATCTGTTGGATTTGCTGAATGGATGAATGAATGATTGGTTTCCAGAGGAATTAAGCTCACTTTCAATTCGGTGTGGATTCCTTGGAAATCACAAGATCTGAAATGTTAGACAGAGATGGGGCTACTTTTCAGAAAAGGTACTTGGGGGTACTCTTTTCTGTTACAGAACTTTCCAATTTTGTAAATAGTGTCAATGTCACAAAATCAACACAAGAAGGTTGTTTCTTGCCCTGGCTGGTTTGGCTCAGTGGATAGAGTATGGGCCTGCGGACTGAAGGGTCGTGGATTGGGTTCCTGGTTAGGGCACATGCCCAGGTTGCGGCTGGATCCGTGCAGAAGGCAGCCAATCAATGATTCTTTCTCTTCATTGATGTTTCTATCTTCCTTCTCCTTTCCTCTCTGAAATTAATAAAACTATATTTTTAAAAAAGAAGATTATTTCTTGGGCTTGTCAACTGTTTCTTCTGTTAAAATTAACTAACACAGCCCAGCTGGCGTGGCTCAAAGGTTGAGCATTGACCTATGAACCAGGAGGTCATGGTTCCCATAACTGGTCAGGGAATATGCTGTGGTTGTGGGCTGGATCCTTAGTGCGGGGTGTGCAGGAGGCAGCCAATGAAGGATTCTCTCTCATTGATGTTTATCTCTCTCTCCCTATCTCCCTTCCTCTCAAATCAATTAAAAAATATATATGTATATACATTTTTTGAAAGATTAACCAACACAACTCAAAAGTTGTCACTTTACCATTAACTATAGGCCACTATTCTCCTCTCTGACCAGGTTTCAAAAGATGCCCTTGGAACCCTGGGTGGTGTTTCTCAGTGGTTAGAGCTTAGGTGTGCCTTGGCTATATCAGTGACATAGTAAAGTTATTTTTTAAGAAAATGAGCAGAATCATATCAGACCAATGATAGTTACCATTTATTGAGCACTTAGTAGTCAAATATTTAATGTAAATTTTTCATTTATTCCTTACAAAAAAAACCCCCAGAGAGGTAGGTAGTTGTTATTCCTAATTTTCACATGTGAAAATCAAGGCTTACATACATGTCCAAGACAACAAAGAGGTAATAGGACCAGGATTCAAACCACACTAATAACCACTTTTATGTAATGGGATTATCTAAATCTTGATGCCTAACATAGTATTTTATTCCAGTGTTTGCTAATAAACTATTATAGAAGAACTATTCTTGTTTGAGAACCACCTAATAAGAGTATCCAGAATAAAACCTGCAAACCAAGAATGAAGAAAAGTAAACATTAAAACCGTAAACGTTATTTAACATTGTTGATTTTAAAAGCAAGGGCATTTAAGACATGTTACCATTAATAACCATGTGCTCCAGGCTATTTCAAACTGAAAGATCAACAATTATTTCCTGCCCAGCAAGCTTACAAATTACAAAGGCAAACAAAACACAAATACAGAGTGAAAATAGAAAATATATGGGTTTAATATGAGAAGAAAGGTCAGTGTTCCCAACAACCAACATTGAATCTATTTCCTGTTTTCTTTGGGTAGTAACAAAAACCTGAAAGAAATTATATTTAAAGAAGTGTGAGAAATATGAATTCCACCCTGCTGCACTGCACATAATCAGTCTTTCAAAACGATCTTGAGTCGAAGTAATCTGTTTTTGAGCACCTAAAAGACAGCAAGGAGCCTCAATATTAAAGATTTACAAAAATGGAAACAAATTTTTAAATCATCTTCTGGAGCCGAAACCGGTTTGGCTCAGTGGATAGAGCGTCGGCCTGCAGACTGAAGGGTCCCAGGTTCGATTCCGGTCAAGGGCATGTACCTGGGTTGCGCGCATATCCCCAGTGGGAGATGTGCAGGAGGCAGCTGATCGATGTTTCTCTCTCATCGATGTTTCTAACTCTCTATCTCTCTCCCTTCCTCTCTGTAAAAAATCAATAAAATATATTTTTAAAAAAAAATCATCTTCTGGAAAGAAAGGAGAGTATAAAACCAGTGTTATAATTTAAGAAAAATCATTGGAGCAAAAGGAAAATGATCAAAGATTTTTAATACAATAAAATCCAGAAAGTAAAAAATGGTGATATTTAGAAAGTTAATTATAACAGGAAGTCACAGAAGGAGAGTATCTAATGGTATCAAAGTACATGGATTTTTAAAAATTAATTACTTTGACCAAAATTATAGTTGTTTTGTAAAGAGAAGAAAATTACAAAGCAAACAGAAAATGTACTTAATGCATTTGAAGATGCCTGGTTAGAAACAGGTAAATGAAAGGGAGAGAAAAGAATAGCCAGAAAAAAGATACCACTGTTATAGTGTATGTATGATGATTTGAAAAGACTTGGTCAACGAGGTTATTGGGGTACAGTAAGGTGTGTTTAGGAGAGTAGAAACACAGAGGAACTGATGAGGGGGGAAAGCAAATTCTCATTTTCAGAAAGGATGCAGGACTAAAACACTTTTAGCCCCTGTAGGTATTATAAGTATACATTTGTGGCAGATTTGTGTTTCACAATAGGAATCTGATTGTTTCTTTATATTTCCCTCCCCTATTTCTACCTTACTAGTAAACCCAGGGCCTCTCTCCCGCTCCAGACCTCACCAGAACATATACAAAGATCTGGGGCCACTGGTGACCCATGGGCTAAGCCCAGATCCTCCTGTGCATGCTTGAAGAACTGGTTATTCACTAAGGTGGATAAGAGTGTGCCTAGAGAGAGATCAGAGGAAAGGGAGAATCCTATATAATAAAAGGGTAATATGCAAATCAACCAAACAGTGGAACAACCGATCGCTATGACGCACACTGACCACCAGGGGGAAGACTCTCAACACAGAAGCTGCCCCCTGGTGGTCAGTGCGCTCCCACAGGGGGAGCACCGCTCAGCCAGAAGCTGAGCTCACGCCTGGCGAGCACAGCGACGGTGGCAGGAGCCTCTCCCACCTCCGTGGCAGTGCTAAGGATGTCCAACTGCCAGCTTAGGGTCGGACATCCCCCGAGGGCTCTCGGACTGCAAAAGGGCACAGGCCAGGCTGAGGCACCCCTTCCCCCAGTGCATGAATGTTGTGCACTGAACCAAGAGCCCTCAATGTGGCCAGGAGAAAGAGGATTTGTCGTTAGAAAGTTCTTGGAAGGATTTCAAGAAGATGAGCCATCCGCAAGTGTGGATCACTCACCCTTTAAAAAAAAAATTAAAACTATGACCCATTTGTCATTTAACACTCCTGGATACACGTAGGCCTGGAAAGAGAGGAAGGGGAGCTTGAACATTCTGGAGGGAACAGGAGAATGCCGAAGAACCTCACTCCCTAAACCACGTGGAACTAGGCAGAAACAACTGGGAATGTTTCCTGAATGAAGTGGTGGTGGACCACATGCCACTGTTAGATATTCTGTTAACATGCCTGAGGGATGTTAGCAATTTGGAAATCTGGAGGAAAATGAATAGATGGTCACGTAGCAGAATTGTCAATGAAAATTCATGCTTTACAGATACGCATATATGATCTTGAGTAAACGTGTGGGATTCCCATCATTCTACTAGTAAAATAAGTCCTCTTTCAAATGAAGGTTCAACAATTACTTTAACTTCCTATTCATTCATTCATTCATTCAATGGTTCATTTATTCATCCATGTATTCTTTCAGTATTAGCATGCACAACTCTCTATGTACCCTTTTTAATAGCCATACAGAGGCAGAAAAATGAGTAAGACATGATCACTACCTTCCATGGCATTACATATATCCGAGGAGATAAAATATTTACAGGAGGAAAAAGTAGAGTGATCAGGGAAATCTTCTTGGAGTTAGTGGCATTTGAACTGAGCTTTGAAAGTTGGGAAAATTCCAAAAAGTGCCAGGGAAAAATTCTGGATCCAGGAAATCTCACAAAAGCACCCATAGAGTGATCAAGACACTGTTAAGTATGGATTATGGAGAAATCTGAAAAATTAATGTTCTATCTCTGGTAATGGTCTCTGTAAATCTCTCACTTGCCTGAAGGTGGCAAGCTGGGTTTGTTTGAGAAACTTCAGCACCAACATTATCTGAAAGAAAAATGAAACTACTGCTTCTCTGGGAAAAAAACACACACACACAAACTTTCATGGACATTTATCTCATAAAATCAAAAAGTGGAAAAGATTAGAAATTACTATCACAATTATTTAAATAATGTATATATTTAGTATTACTTATTTTAAGGCACGTAGATTTTATATTACAAATATTTTTCATTTTAATAGTTATTTTATTGTTCTTATTGATTTCTCAGTTATGATAAATGTTTTCTTTAGAGAAAAAGGAACTTATACTTTTAAGTTACTATTAAAATATGTGATAAGCATTGTTTATAAGTCTATTGGGGGGTGGTTAGATTTATTGAGGAGTAATTTCCAAATAGTAATTTCAGTAGCTAGTTGTGAGTTTTATGAATTGTGACAAGTGCATATGTTTTGTAATCACCACTATTATAAAGATCTAAAACAGTTTATCAC